GAAATAAAAAAAAAAAAAAACAAAAAAAAAAAAAAAGCTTGGGGGTTGTGGGGGGGGGGGGGGGGGAAGAGCCTCCAGTTGCGTTTCTCTCAGCTGCTATTGCAAGAGCTGTTCGGAGGGGATTGGAGCGGTGTGCTGCTCCTCAGCTGGTTCCTATTAGTGTTCCTGCCCGTTTTCCTCCCCATGCTGGAGGGGTGCCTGCTTCACACCACCTCGTTGCGGGGTGTGAGCACACAGCTGCTCCCCGGGGCTGTGCCAGGCTGCGCCGGTGACACGGGGAGCAAAATCTCTGCCGGTGCTCGGGGCAGGGTGCGGGCGATGGGGAGGAAGGGGCTGGGTGCTCGGCCTCCCCTGCTCGCTGCTGGGGGGGGGTGAGGGGGCTTCAGCCCCTCCGTGCTCCAGGTTGTGCCCGCTTTCCAGGGCTCCTCATCCTTTAAGCTCCATCCCCGGGCAGCAGCATCTCGGTACCGAGAAGGCACGGGCGGTATCGGTGAGTCAGCCAGCCACGTTATCAGGGAAGCAAACCCTCCTCCATCCCTCACCCGGCGATAAGAAGAGCAGCAACGATGTGGAGCCAAACCCCTGCCAGGACTCCGGCGTGGTTGGACTTTTATATTATTTTTTTTAGCCCCAATTTGGCAACAAGGTGTTTTTATTATTTTTTTTTTTTAGCCCCAATTTGGCAACAAGGTGCCCTGCTGCAGCCTGGCCCTGGGCTACCGGCGCTGGGGGTGCCTGTGTGGGGAGGCAGCTGATGCTTCGGGGGTACCAAGGGGTCTCACGGCAGACGCAGCCCCGGGGTGTTGGATGGAGCTGCTTGGCTTCAGCATCTTTGCAGCCAGCTTGGGTCTTGCTTGGCATTTAATGGCTGCAAAGGCTCCTGGTGTGGACTCACACTCGCTTTTCGCCCTCCTCCTCCTCCCTGCTGGCAGGCAACCGCAGCGGGGAAGGGATTTTGGGGCTGGTAGCAGCACGGTGGCTCCTCTGAGAGCTGACTGCACTTTGGATCCACGAGGAACGGCACCGGGCGTCTGCCAAGCAGCCGTGCTCATCCCTCAGGAGCTGGAGGAGCCACTGCCCCCAAACCAGGCCAGCCCCTGGGGGTGTGTGTGTGCAGGTTGCTGAGGAACCACGTGTGAGCCTCCAAACTTTGTGGCCTGGAATTCAGGGGGGGATAAGGCCCAGTAATCCCATTAAACCTGCTGGAAAGGGCTTGACGGGGGCTGTGGAGCAGCAAAACAAAGCAGCACGAGGACTTTGTGGGTGAAGACAGAGCTGAGCATCTCGACACGGAGCCGTTTCACCCACGGCTGACGGAGAGCACCGGCCCCGGGTGCAACACCTTCTGCGTGGATGGGCCACAGCACCTTGTGCTCCCTGAATTTCTGCCCTTGGGGGCCTGGCAGGACAAGGAGAGGAGAGAGCCGAGCGTGGCACCGTGGTGGAAACCCAGATTATCTGCCCTGGGAAAAGCAGCTGGGTTGCTTGAGAAGCTTCAGCCCGCCCCGGCATTAGCCCCGTGGGCCGTGGTGGCCAGGCTCACCACCCGCCGTGCTCACCCCGAATCCAACACCCTTCCAGCTGTGGGACGAGGGGCGTCAGCGCCGTCTGACTCCGGGGGCCTCATTCCAGTGCTTTGAGTTTCCCTCGGGGAGGCTGCATGGGGAGCCCTATATATAGGCACCCTATATAGGAGCGTGAGTTGCCGAGTGGGATGTCTAAAATTAGCTGTCCCACCCCCGGGCACCGCTGCTGCTGTAACGCGCGCCCTCGCCCCCCTCCTGCTCCACCAGCAGCACACAGGCCCCCCCAGCCCAAAGGGGATCTAGAAATCCCTCTCGTGGGGAGCAGTGACCCCCCGGCACGGTCGGATTTGGGGCTGAGCATCCCTCCTGCCGGGGGGCTGAGCATCCCTCCTGCCGGGGGGATGATGGAACAGGGGGTCTCCCATGGAGATGATGGAGACCTGAGCCCCTGGGGATATCGGGAGCCACTGGAATTGCTGTGGGATGGGGGGAGAGGAGCCCCGGGGCGGGTGGCAGCCCCTGCATGTGCACGGGCGGGCGGCCAAGCCGGGGCGGCGGGAGAACAAAACTCTCTTTCCATCTGTGAGGAGCCGTCAGAGTGATGACACGAGACGTCCCCAGCAGAGACGTCCCTGCCTATCAGCGCCCCAGCCCCGCGGGGAGGGTCGGGAGGAGGGGATGGGGGTGGTGGTGTTTGCTCCGTGTTGTTTGCTGGTTTCGGGGGTGGGTGGTTTTATTGGTCTTGATTTTTTTTTTTTTTTTTTTGGGTGGGGGTTTTTTTTTCATTTCGTGCCAAAAGATTTACGCTGGTTTTTTGGGAGCGATTCCCAGGGCTGCTCGGGTGCCAAGCGTGCTGGCGGCACATCTGGCCTGAGCTATTCCCGAGCTTCCAGGTGGAAAATGGCAGGATTTCCACCCAAACCACCAGCTTTGCGCAGCTGAAGCCTCCTGCCTGCGGCCCCAGGCGGATCCCCAGCACACGCCTGAGCCTCGAGGCCTTGCAAACTCGTGCCATCTGCTGCAGGAGCTTTCCTGGCTGCCCTGGGAACTGCAGCTTCCTGCCCTCTTTTGCCTGTTATTGCCTTTGCCACGTTGCTTTCTCCCTGCTGGTGGGGAGGAGGTCCCCCCCGTGCCCTGTTGGCATGGCAGGGGTGTACAAGCATCATCTCTGCCGTCCCTCTCCCCCTCCAGCTCTTCACCGATGGCATCACCAACAAGCTGGTGGCCTGCTACACGGACGAGGGCATGGGGGACGCGGTGCTGGTCCGTGTCTACGGCAGGAAGACGGAGCTCTTCGTGGACCGGGAGACGGAGCTGAGGAACTTCCAGGTGCTGCGTGCCCACGGCTGCGCCCCCGACCTCTACTGCGCCTTCCAGAACGGGCTCTGCTACCAGTTCCTGCCGGGCATCGCGCTGGGGCCCGACCACGTGCGGGACCCCCACATCTTCAGGTGTGCAGGTCCGGGGAGGACGTGCGGGATGGGTTTGGGTTGGGAGGGACCTTAAAGCCCCGTGGGTTTGGGTTGGGAGGGACTTTAAAGCCCCCCTAGTGCCACCCCCTGCCCTGGGCAGGGACACCTCCCACCAGATCAGGTTACTCCAAGCCCCCTCCAACCTGGCCTTGAACCCCTCCAGGGATGGGGCAGCCACAGCTTCTCTGGGCAACCTGGGCCAGGCTCTCCCCACCCTCAGGGTGAAGAATTTCTTCCAAATATCTCAATCTCCTTTCAGTTTAAAACCGTTAACCCCTCGTCCTATCGCTCTGCTCCCCCATAAAGAGGGATGCTCTTACCACCATGCTTTTAAAGCATCAGTTTTTGGTGAACAAAGAGCGCTGCATGAGAACCTCAGCTTTTATCTGGAGAGGTGATCGCTGCGTTTGACCCAGACAGGGTCTGGAAATGCTGCAGAGGCTCGTGGCTGAAGTGGAGGGGATTTTCAGCTGTGCCCCTTGCCTTTTTAAACACAGCTCTCAGGGAACCCCCCTCAGGGCTGGTTTCATGGAGCACCTTTCCTGGGAATGCTGCTGCGCAGCCACCTCTCATCCGTGTTCCCTTCCAGGCTGGTGGCCCAGGAGATGGCCCGGGTACATGCCATCCACGCCAACGGGAGCCTCCCCAAGCCCATCCTCTGGCAGAAGCTGCACAAATACCTCACCCTCGTGAAGACGGATCTCAGCCCAAAGGTATCCAACCCCAGGTAAAGGCAGAGGGATCCCAAAGAGCCAGGCTCTGGCTTGGGCATCCACTGCCCACCCATCTCTGTCTCCCCCGTACGGGATCAGGGGGGAAGAGCCCTGGTTCCCAGGTAAAGCCTCTGTGGGACTCTGGGGCTGGTGAATGGGGCTGGTGATGGTGTCGGGGCACGTGGCAGCTTCTGGATCATTATCCCTCCATGAGCAAAGTCGTGGCCAATCTCCCCCAAGAGCAGGTGGGATGGAGGTGGGAGAGCAGGTGGGATCCTCAGGAAGTTCGCTGATGATACGAAAGTGGGAGGGCTGGCCAACACTGGGCCACCATCCAGAGAGACCTGGGCAGGCTGGAGAGCTGGGCAGAGAGGAACCTGATGAGGTTCAACAAGGGCAAAGGTGGGGTCCTGCACCTGGGGAGGAAGAACCCCAGGCACCAATACAGGTTAGGGGTGGATCTTCTGGAAAGCGCTTCTGAGGAGAAGGATCTGGGGGTCCTGGTGGATAGCAAGCTTTCCATGAGCCAGCAATGGGCCCTTGTGGCCAAGAGGCCAATGGGGTCCTGTGCTCTGTAGGGAAGAGTGTGGCCAGGAGGTCAAGGGAGATCATTCTCCCCCTCTGCTCTGCACTGGGGAGGCCACAACTGGAATCCTGCCTCCAGTTCTGGGCTCCCCAGTTCAAGAGAGAGAGGGACCTGCTGGAGAGAGTCCAGCGAAGGGCAACAGAGATGATGGAGGGATTGGAGCATCTCCCTGATGAGGAAAGGCTGAGAGAGCTGGGGCTCTCTTAGAGCAGCGAGGGTCAGCTATCGCTGGTGGAGGGGATGCTGGAAACCCAGTGTAGATTAAAGAGGCCAGTTACATTTCAAACCAGTTCATCCCATTTCTGGGAGCCTGGGTTCACACCAGGTGAGTGTCGGGGTGTCAGGGAAGGATGGGGGCAGCCCCAAGAGGTGGTGGAGGTGAACGAACCCGAAGGCGAGCGAATAATTAACCCGGTTCCCCGAGGGGCAGTGGCAGGACACGGGGCTTTTCTCAGCCCCCACCCCACTGAGGACAGACTTTACCCAAGCCTCCACCTTCAGTGCAGCCAATTAAGTAATCATTAACCAGCTCTCTTCTTGGAATTGAAACTTCTGAGGTTACTGAGAGGGTACGTGCCCTGGCAGGGTCCCAGAAAAATTTCCCATTGCCTGGGGGTTAGTCGGGTGCTTTGGGAGCCAGTGCTGGGGGGGGCTCTCCAGGGCTTGAATTTGGGGGGTGGATGGGGAGCAGGGAAGGGCTGAGGCTGCAGCGTGGGGTCTGCTGGGCGCCCTGGGTACCACGTCGGAGGGTGTCCCCACCAAACCTGACCTGCCCGTCAAAAAAGGCCTCGTTACCCCTCACTTGGTGTCACTGATGAGTCCATTTATAAAATGCACGGAGGGAAGCAAGGGGCAACGCTGTCCCTGTGCCCCTGAGGGAGGTTCCCCCATGATCAGAAGTGATTCCACCCCGTCCCCCTTCCCCAGCCTCCAGCAGGACGTGCCCAGCCTGGAGATGCTCGAGCAGGAGCTGGCCTGGATGAAGGAGACACTCTCCCAGCTGGGGTCCCCCATCGTCCTGTGCCACAACGACCTGCTCTGCAAGAACATCATCTACAACAGGACACAAGGTTCGTGGCAGCAGGAGGGGTCTGTCCCCCGTTTAACCTCCTGGGATGGGGTGGGTGACAGTCCCCCACCTCCAGCCCCTCTCACAGCCCCTGCCTTTGCCTCCGCAGAGCACGTTCGCTTCATAGACTACGAGTACACGGGCTACAACTACCAGGCTTTCGACATTGGAAACCACTTTAATGAGTTTGCAGGTAAGCTGGGGTCCTTCCCGTGGCACTGAAACCCACCCACCACCCCCCCCTCAATGGCAGAAGCTGCCCTGAGGTCTCCTGCTCCCTAGGGATGGAGGAGGAGGTTGCATCCCCGGTCCCATGGTGGGAAATGGGGCAATTCCTGGGCTGCCCAGGGTTAGGGTGGCCCAGCTCTCAACCACACAAGGGCTGGGTGGGTGCCTCGGATCAGCCTGTGGACACCTGGAGCTGCAGGGGTTTGTGCTGCTGGTGGTGAGCAGCCTGCCCGCTGCTGGGATGCAATTCCTGCAGGAACCCAGCTCTCAACCACGCGAGGACTGGGTGGGTGCCTCGGATCAGCCTGTGGACACCTGGAGCTGCAGGGGTTTTGCTCACCCGGCTGTGCCCTGTGATCAGGTCGCTTTGCCCTGGAGAAACCCTCCCTTTCACCCTTCACCAAGTGCAGGTCCTGCACTTGGGCCACAACAACCCCATGCAGCACTACAGGCTGGGGGAAGTGTGGCTGGAGCTGCCTGGAGGAAAGAGACCTGGGGGTTCTAGTTGACAAACGGGTGAATATGAGCCGGCGTGTGCCCAGGGGGGCAAGAAAGCCAATGGCATCCTGGCTTGTATCAAAAATAGTGTGACCAGCAGAAGTAGGGAGGTGATTGTGCCCCTGTGCTCAGCACTGGGGAGGCCACACCTCGAGTGTTGTGTCCAGTTTTGGGCACCTCAATCCAAGAGAGAT